CACATTTGGCACGAGTTGGGCCTATATGTTATCATGTTGTAATTTGTGTGCTAATTGTGATGCTTTCTCGTAACAAGTAATCATCTCAGTCAATAAAATGATTACGCACATGCCATGGTGCCAAAAAAACATTTTCCCATTAACTTACATTGGATAAGACATGACTGTTATTCAGCGTAGTTGTAGGTAAATTGTCTTATGTCACTCTGTGAGACAGGGAAAAGGTATTTTTTTAAAAATACATTAGTACTCTGAACAGCAAATCCAAATACTCAAACAGCAATGTAACATCATGTGCAAGACTCTTACTTTAAACTAAATTCTCCCTCACATCAAAAATGACACAGCAGAAAAGTAGAGGTGTATCTTGAAATGTTAATAAAGATGCCTTTGTGTTTTTCACCAGTCATCCAGCATACAGAGCTCTTAGCTGTGTCTTAAATCCATGCTACATGGTTTCGAGTCAGTAGCGTTTTCAATCTCTTGGAGTGGTCATACACAGCCATGGTAGGAGGTCTAATCATACATAATAAGTGATGCAGCTGTGCTACACCCACACAGGTGCATTCACTTCTTTTGGCCGATTGACCTCTTACCAGCACAGTGTGAGCTTGATTGACATCTCTCTTATAGGCTCCATTTGGACCTGGTATAATCAGGTGTATTTTTGATACATTATGAAACTCAAGACTGGTCAATTATATTTTGGTGAAGTCATTATGTTAATGAAGCTTGATTTGAGAGGTGAGGATTATAACTGTGTTAAAACCCAGGGCAAGCGAGGCTAGCAGTGCATGCAGTTACACAACATTCTCCCTTTACAACACACACACACAACTAAACAAACATGCTGGCTGCTATCTGTGAGCTGTGTGTCTGCACAAGCTATGCGGGAAATGTCCTTTGAAAGAACAATGACTGGAAGGTTAAATGTATGATTTCGCGGAACACATCAGTTTAACGCTATCTGTTGCAACAGAGCTACATTTTGAGCCGTTGGGAAATGGTCGTTCTTTATTTCAGGCTTTCAGTCAGTGGTTATCTTTCACCATGCAGCTTTCCATTCAGCTAACTGGAAGGAACATGGACAAGAATCATGTTCTATCACACATGGCCTTACGTATCCAGGGATCAAAAGTGGTGCAGATGGAGAGACTCACCAGGACACATTCACACAGCTTCCAAGCTTAGTTTGTCAAATAAGTGGCAACACTGACAGCCCATACTTAATTTCATGCACCTTTTTTAAACACCTGGAAGTAAGACTTACAATCATAGTGTTCATTTAAGCATCTCAGCATTAACTGTAAACATCTTGGTATCTTATTATGACTTTACCCCGTGTTTGCCATGAGGCTTTCTAAGATGGAAAGCCAATGCATTTATTAGTAAATTCCCCTTAGTTAGGTGGAATCAATCAAATATAATTCCCCTCAAAGATGTCTTTGAAAACAATTATTTTAAATAAAATGTATACACTTCTATTTCCATTTATTTATAAATAGCCTCATATATTTATATATATAATTTATAAAGATATTTAATTATTTGTGTTTTTATCTATAAAATATTTCCATATTCTAGCTGTCTACCAGACTGCTGCTGCTTTGCGCATCAGCATTGGAACATATAACAGTGTACATAGATCTTTAATGTTCTTCATGCCTTTCAACACTTATTTTTCTCCTGTTGTGACCTTTCAAGTAGCCTCTCCTCTCAGTGTAGCACTAAGTATTCCTGCTGCTCTATTCATGTATTGATCTCTGTACAGCAGCAGTAGCAGCTTTCAGGAGTCTGGAGTAACACTGAATGTACACACATGGAGGTTGTCCTCGTGTAGAAATACAAGACAGCATTGAAATGAATTCAGTCTTGGCAGAAACATTGGAAATGTTTGAGTCCCTGATGCTCTCCGATCTGCTAGATAATGTTTATGGTGCGGAGGATGGATGAAGTGGTGAACGGATGAGTGAACACAGACATTATAGTTCAATCAGTGTTTGAGCCACCAATGCCCTCTCTCTGTAGCTGTGATCTATACACATACTGTAGTACATGTACTCAATACTGGACTTAAATACAATTTTTAAGGTTATAGCATACTACTACATTTCAGGAAATATTGTACTTTTTACTCTTGACAACAAATCAAAGCTATTGAAGGTTTCAAACTAAAAACATATAATAAAATATGATGTTCTATTTTAGATTTACAGACTTCTCAGATGTGAAAGTCAATTAAAGTTTGTGTTGAAAGACATGTGTCGTCCTCCCCACTAGCCTCCCCACTTTCCCAACATGAACCACATAACAAATAATAACACACTGCAAAATAGTAGTTTAGATTCTTTAATAACATTTTGTCGACAATACTTGTGTTGAAAAAATCAAATGCAAACATGTACTTGAATTTTTTTTTACAGTATTGTAATGCTGTATTGCATCGTAAAGGTACAGTTTAAGCATTTAAACAAATGTGTGTAAAGTCTGTGTGAGCAAAATCTGCATGATTAGAAGGGATTTCTATAGAAATTGTAACTGCGTAGTCAGAAGGAAAACACATGGCTGTCTAAAGGAACTGGGCTATGTGTGTCACTAACAACACTGAACCTCGTGCAGATCAGCTCTTTGGGCAATTATTCCCAAGCCAACTCCCATTTACCGTAACATTAGGTAACAGGCTATCAGTGCTTCACATTAGTCTGCTCTGTTGACAGAATCTGGCTTGTATCTCCTCTTTCCATTCCTCCATCCCGCTGTCTTCTCGCTCCCTCCTTTTCCCATCTATCCATCCTGCCGTGTTTTTTGGTAGGTCAGTTTCTTATCTTGTTTATTTTTATCTGTGCACCCCCCATATGCTCTTGTGTATGGTGAAACCCTCTGTGGTTGCTCACCTGACCAATGGTCACCGGGCTGTCAGGGTCATAATGTAAACCTCTTTGAGAGCAGATAACAGCCCGCTGGGATAATTGGCCACACACACACACACACACACACACACACACACACACACACAGACCAAGCCAGGGGCACACAGCGAGACACCTCTCAGTTACCATGGGAACTTGACCTGAAGCCCCTGTTTACACACATCTCAGTGAATACACCCAACACCCCCCACTGTGTACTTTGCCCAGATGAGGAGCTCGCAGGTGAAGTAAACTTCAAACATTGAGAGATGATGTAACAAGGCAGAAGGGCCACCTGCAGAAACAAGCCCTGCTTCTGCTGTAACAGAGAACATCCTGCTGGGGCTAATACACCACCGACATGCAGCAGTTATGCTAAGAGGAAACAAGAAATCCAACCACAAAACGATTTGGCACTGAGAAGCAAAGTCACAGCTGAATGTGTTTAATACATTTTTGAAATGTACGACATATTAGTCTAGAAGTAATTTAACATACAGTTTTAACATCAACCTTTGTATGTGGCAAAGCATATTGAGCAGTGAAAAGGTTCTCCGAGTTCACTCATTACTCATTTGGCCCCTTTGAACCATGCAGTCAAGGATCAACATTAAACATCAGTGAGTAACCACTATTTGTTCAGAGGAAGGCTGTTGAGTGTGTAACTTGTTCCCTCTTGTGGTGAGAAGTGTATGCTACAAATACAGAGACTTCATAATCAAGATGCTCTGATGTGGAGAGGAAATATAATTGTACTGCCACAACACACAACCATTACATCTCATGATTCTCTTCATCCTCTGTGTTTTCTGAGCACTTAATGGACCTCTTGTCATCTTTGAATAAGATACAAAATAGAACCTACATTTTGAATCTACCATCGCATTTTCATATCACAAGAATTGTTTGCATGCTTTTCTTTTGAGGTGCATTGGTTTTAGGAATGTTATTGCTGTAAATGTATTTTGAGACATTAAAGAAATACGAGAAAGAACACATGTATAGATTCAAAGGTTTTATTGTTATTATTGTTATAGCTTCATTGTCATGATTTTATTTCTAAATCTTTCGAAAGACTGATGTTGTGGCGTTCTGCCTACATTACGGTACAATCAAGCCACAGTAAATCAAGAAATACATACAGGCATACATACATAATGTTGTGAATCGAAAATATACATCCAATCTTCCCTTTTATCTATACAGGAAAAAACAAATACATTCATTTTGTAATGTTTTTTTTTTCTCTAAGTAGTCACCACTTAGTCTGTGGAAACATTATTCGTTGTGTTTATTTAACAAGTAGCTTTGATTTTGCAGTGCAATATTTGGTAACAGTATAATTAATTAGTTAAAGATAATATTTTTATAAAAATAAGATTGTCAGAGGCAGTGTTAGTCAAAACTATTAATGTGAGTGTGTTAGGGTGACCAGATGTTGCGCTTTGCGCAGGACTGCACAGCATTTTCACGACTTTTGGTACATCCCGCAGACGAGACGAGACGATGTCCCGCATATTTCATTTTGATTGGCTAAAACGCTTTTCTTTAAAATCAGATTTATCCAATGGCTGTTGAGAAAGCAGGGAAGGCTATCATCACGGGGGTGTGTTTGCTGTCAATCAAACTGTAACACACGGCGGGTGCTGGTCAAGTGTTGACCAATGAGAGTAACTCACTCACACACACCCCCCCACGGCCCCCGCCAAACAACAACAACGAAAGTCAGTCAATAACGCAGGCGAGGCAGCAGGTTATGGAAAATGGAGGAAACTGAAACTACAGCTAAGAAGAAAAGAAGATGCACATACAACAAAGACTGGGAAGACACGTACGGCCCGTCCACACTACAGCTTCAAAAAAAGCTTGGAGCTCGGCGTGTCTGAAGCTCGACCAACAACCAATCACATGAATCTCCCGCCCCTGACACACAAGCAGCGGTTTGATTGGCTAGAGCTTGTACTGGCATATGATTTGATTGGCTGACGCTTCCACCGAAAGCTTCAGAAGCTTCAAAAGTTGAACATTGCTCAACTTTTGCAGCCTGAAACGCCAGGAAAGCTCCGCTCTGCTTCCCACAATGCAGTTCTGCGAAAAGTGACGTCACCCCATTCAAAGTGAATGGGCAGAAGCGTTGGAAACCGTTTTTGAAGCTGTCGAAGCTGTAGTGTGGACGGGCCGTTACCCGTGGGTGAAGCCAGTGCAGGGCGACTCTCAGAGAGTTTTTTGCAATCTTTGCAAGAGTAATTTTTCAATTTCACATGGCGGTGAATACGACGTAAAAAGACACCGAGAATGCGATTCTCACAAGAAACGTGTCGCTCAAAAATAGACATCCCATTCTATGGAGACATTCCATAGAATGTTAAGAGGGTGTCCCACATTGTCCCACACAAACATACTCCTTGTCCCACATTTGGTTTGACCAGGTCCCTAGGGTGACCAGGGTGTGTTCATGTGTGTCTATCCATGTGCAATTGAATTGTCAGGTTAACCTTGTTGTCAATCACCCAGTTTGCTCTCAGCTGAGCAGCGTCTTACTAAAGGTTCAACGTGCCCCTGTGTCACCATTCGCAGAGAGTCATTCTGACTTTAAAAGCCTCTCACATGCCTTCTCTGAAGTGGGGCATTGAGGTGTTAACAATGCAGGGTTTTAGCCTCAGAGCTGGGTGGGTCCTCCGGCTTTAACCTATACCTGCAAAGACACAGGGCTGAGTGGAGATGGAGACCAGGAGAAAAGATTGGTATCCGTTCTCTTACTCTTCTGCTGCACTCAGGACACTCGATGCTGATCAGATTTAAAACCCAAATGCAACCCTGACAACCTAGGCTCTATCTGTCACTGCATGTTCACATATACTTAAATACTGTAAAGCAATCCCTTTTTAAAAAATCCATCTTAAAGATTTGGTTCACCCAAATTGCAAAAATGCATTTCATCACTCAGTGATTTTTAGCTACACAGATTTGATTCTGATTGCCCAGGTGTCCGATATTAATCTCTTAATTTGCTGCAACCGGTCCAATAAAACTGAAGAGTTTGTCAGGAGTGGGGCTCAGAAGATTCAGTAGTCTCCCAATAAACCTGAAACAGTTATTTGCCATATCTTGCACTCATCATAATTCACCAGAGGGCAGCATCCACCCACACAACAGAGTCAGAGACATTGCATGAGGGAGATTTCCTGTGTCTGGCTTCTTGATATTTCACACACAATGCTTCTGTGTGTCTGAAGGGGAATTCACAGCAGAGCTCATCTTTTGAGGTCTGCATTTTATTCGCGATTGACAGATACTTTTTTTTCTCTTGCAGAAAGTGTGCATTCCCACAGCAGCCATAGATGGACAATCATCCCGTTGAGACATAGTGGGCAGCCGAGATTTCAACTGACATTTTCATCTCACTCTCTCAGAAATAAATACATTCTAATCTGTGGCCATAGGGTGTATATCTTCAGGCTGAACTTAAGTAGTAGCCAGAAGGACTTTTTAAACATCTGAAGTGTGAGTGTGTGTGTGATGAAACCAGTAACTGCTGCTCACTCATGCGTGACTCAAAACAAAACAACAAAGGTATTTTTTGAAGAGCTGAAAAGTAGAATCATATATCTTTGGACCAACTTAGAACGCTTATTTCCTGGATTTTTAGAAATGCACACATTTTAATACCTCTTTGTTACTAATCAATGTTAATCACTTTACCCCTAATATCTTACCCAACTCCATTGTGTGGATTTACTTTGGCAAATCCATTAATTCAGTGTGAGAGCAAGTGAAATTAAAACAAAGAAAAATGTCCACATAGGTCGCTGTGATCCAACTCCGTTCCTGGCTCGAGTTGTATGAACCTGTGCTCTGACTCTCTGCTTATGCAGGTCAGGATTCTCAACCAAAGAACTAGCAATGTATCTACCAGATGCTGTGCTCTTCAAGGAACAGTTGTAGGGAACACCTGAAAGATTGTGCTCCAGGTAACTATGGATAGTCAGCCAACCGTTGTCCACCTGTTTCGTAGTGTGTTGCTTCACAGAGCCATCTGAGAGATTGTGGGAGCCGTGAAACCAGTGCACATCTCCGTCCGGGTAGACATGTCTGAAGGTGCAGGTGGGATGGCCCTCATTCCAAACACCCTCAAAGGACCAACAACACTCTGAGGGGAAGACCATAAGAAGAGCATCTAAATTCACTTTTAAAATGCACTTCAAGACATAGTACTCACCGATTTCCATAATAAAATCTATACCAATCACAAGGGAGCAGTGTTGGAAATTGAATGTACTCAAATGTTACAGTGCAGAGACCTACAGTCCAGTAATTAAGCAGCTAATCTATAAAGGGCAATTGGCTACCCTGCTCCACAGTTCTCAAAAGCAAACCACCATAAATGTCAAAATCCAAACATAAACGATATTCAAAGATAACATTTAAATTCATCCTAATATGTAATCCTTCTTATTATTATGCTCCAAATATCTGGAACAAACTCCCAGAAACCTGCAGGTCCACTACAACTCTTACTACTTTTAAATCCAGGCTGAAGACTCATCTTTTTGCCGCTGCTTTTAATTGAACTATTCATATCTTAAACTGCACTGTAACCTTTTCATGTATTTTTATTTTAATGTTTCTTTTATTATCTTTTTTTTTTTTTTTTAATGACTGTTTTTAAATGCCTTTGTCTAAATGTCTTTCATTTTTGTAAAGTACCTTGAATTGCCTTGTGTTGAAAGGTGCTATATAAATAAACTTGCCTTGACTTAAACATCATTGTCTTGTACATTTAAATGTATATTTTTTTCTAATCTTGCTTACTTTGATTTGCCCCATTTGCAACCAGACTGCCAGTCATGGTCACACATGCTACATTTAAAAAATGTATATACTGTATATGCAAAAACTATATTCTCCTCTGCATATATTTATTTATCAAGTCACCTATTACAAAATGAGAAAAAGTGGTAGAAAAAAATATTTGATCTAGACTAACACATGATATTAGTTACTGATGTTTTCAAATAAATGTATTGGAGAGTAGAAGAAAAGATTGCAGAAAAAATATATACTCAAATAACTCAAATGTATATTATTACTATAACTGTTATCTCTATTGAGCTGTTATTTATGAGCAGGTCTCCCCTTTCCAAAGCAAGCAACAATAAGCCAACAAAGGCTGTTAGGAAGAAGACTATTATTTAGTAAAACGAATGTTAACAATACAGAATTGAAAATATATAACAAATACGCTTTAAAAATATTTGTATAAAGAAGCAGGACATGCATTTAACACATGTTAGTCCACAAGGATACACACAACCCAACTGGGTGAGTCACACTGAATGTAAACACATTGTTGACACTGACCTTGTACCACCACGATTGTTTTTGCATTGGAAGCTCCACGGTTGGATTGTAGTTTGCAGGTGTAAGGCTTTGAGTTTCCGCTCTCCAGTGGCCGCACTCTTTTAAAGATGAGGGACAGTTGTCCATGTTTGTACTCACAATGGAAGTCAGTTCTGCTGTAGTGTTTGATTTTTCCTTCCTCGTCCACTGAACATAGAGAAGTTTGGTTTTGGATCCACGCCATGTGTTTGATTGATAGTCCATTTGGAGATGAGGACACGTCGCAGTTTAGGGTAACCTGTTTGCCGCACTCCGCAGTAATCTTGGGACTCACATTAAGTTTCACCAACTCTGGAGACAAAGATACAAATATTATACGGAAATACAGAAGAACAAAAGCTTCATGTTTGTTCAGCATTGTCATCAGCACAATTCCAGCTACTTTTGGGAACTAAAAACTGCTTGTTATCTAAACTTTTAGAGAGAAGAGCCAGAGATAGTTTTCCTTCTGTATAACCATAATCATTTTTGACCTACGATGAGTATTGGTTCTGCACAAATGAGTTTAAACTTCAAAAAACACTTTACATACCTTGTGTTGTTAGAGTAAATGCATTTAAAAGCCAGAGAAGAGTATGCAATGCGGTGTACTCCATTGTCTCTTTTGCATTCTACTGTAACAAAGAGAGCAAAGTGTATACACACTGCACGTTATTCTGCAGGCAAGTTGAAACTTGATTTTAGTAGACTGGTATTTTGAAAACATATGAAAGTCTGGAACTGACCTCAGGATGATTTGTGCTTCTCCTCAGCTTTTCCCAAGTAGTCTGTGATTCCTTACGAGCATGAGTATCGTCCTTGAGACTTGTTCCTAAGTGCAGAATGTTAATGATTACAGTATTATAAAGAGAAACGACCGGGAAGGCTTATCTCTTCGGAGGGAGTGTGCTGGAGAGTGTGTGTGTCAGAGAAAGTGAAAGAAACACAGAGTGAAGGCCTGTTCATAAATCAAATAAAGCTGCAACAAGGAGAGACTTGTAAGATCCTCTTTGATGTGTTGCAGCAACTCGTTTTACTGAATTCAACTCTCATAGATGTTCCCATGATGTCACCATGACTCTTTGATACTGACCAATCTCCTTGCAAATAGCCAAGGGCAAAAGGCCCTGACTTAAGTTCCAAATAATCCCCCTCACTCATATAAGGACCATGTTGTGTCCTTTTGTAAATTCATTAGTCATTTTATTGGAAGCCGTCATGTAAGCATGGAAGCGTGAGATAAATGTCAGTAACACACTCTTCTGTAAAACTAAGCTTATTATAAACACATCAAAAATCAAGCAGTGTTGCAGTTGTATTTAGTTATTTGCCCTAATTTGTTTTACTCTTTATGTTTCCTCTTAATTGACTCTATAGACAATGTTTCGCTGTTGGGCCACACTTATAGGAATCAGTTTCTGTTGGTGAACCACACCAGAGTTTCGTTTTGGAAAATTCAGAGGATATTACCAAGCTACAAGGCTGTATTTTGGAGAAAGGTCTTGATTCATTCAATTTTGACATCTATAACATATCACTATATATGTGTTCATCAAAGGATTATGTAACCCCATTTCTTAAATTATTATCACTTGCAAATTCCAGGAAAAGATCACGTGGATGCGAAAAGCAGGATTTCCGAACAAGACACACTTCTCTGTAGGGTACTTTTTATAATGTTGTCACCCATATTGCAGCTGCCATCTGCTTTCTTGCCCAATACTGGACCGATTTAGAAAAATATGAGGTTACCATTAGTCACTTAGAGACACAACATGTGAAAATAGGGTCCAGGTTAATCTAGACCGTTGTGCCTCTCTACCTACTTTCTATCCCTTTGGGGAGTGCATTGATGTAGACACGTTGTCCCTCTTCACTTGTGTCCCTGTCCCCTTCTCATACATTTCCACCCTATTCTAAGGGGAAGCATTTACGCAATGTGGTGCCTTTTCATTTCAGGTTCTCACTTTGTATTTCTTCACCCCTTTCCCTCAAACTATTTTAGGAGAGTGCATTTACGTAGACACGTTGTGCCTCTCTTCCTCTGTTCCTTACTTTTCTCTTCCTACCCCTGTCTTAAGACCTATCCTAAGGGAGCAGACACGTTCTGCCTCTCTATCTCCGAGGGTCAAAGATTCATATGGCCAGGGATTCCTTTGAGCGATATGCGCCGGCCCGTGCCTTAAGCCTTGGACTTCTACACAACTGCTCGGGTCTTGATAGATTGAGTGGGGAAGTTCAGGAGAACAATTTACTCTTGATTGACATATTCCTTCATTGCAAGGCACACAATCAACTTTGACAATGTCCTCTGCTATACTTTCCATCTCTAGACTAGAGCAGTGGTTCCCAAACTTTTTGTGCCCAAGGCACACCAAAGGACAAGTAAAAATCTCAAGGCACACCTATCGTGCAAAATAGCCCATATAACACGTGTTATCACTCATATCATGTAAAATATCTGTAAATGTGCATAATTATTTACTAATGCCAAATAAAATGTGACAAAGACAACTATATTACTCATAAAATATTTATTAACGAAATATTTCAGAAATTAATTTGAAACTTTATCAAATTAGGCTTCATCAAAGCAGCGACACACTCATTTAAACCAGACAGGTCACAAAATTAAAAATGAGGCAAAGGAAACTCAGCAGAAATTCAGCACAGAGAACTGTCAATGCAAGGAAGCTGCATTGCATGGTCCTGAACTACAAATTATAAATGTAACATTTCAGCAATCAGCATTGAAACATGTGCTATTGTAAATATTTTTGCTGATTTACAAATTAGTGAGATACATGTGCCTGTCGGGACGCGCAGATTTTTTAAATCCTTGGTGGCACTGAGGAGAGGGCCATTCGCAAGTCCTGTTCAACAGAGAGCCGTGACCTCCTGTTGTTCTTCATGTAAATCAGAGTAGAGAATGCCAACTCCAGAGATGGGGTCGTTACTAAAAAATGTAAATATATATTACATATTACTTTTAAAAAAAAAGTAATATATTACACTACTTCGTTACTATCTACATAAAGTAACTCGTTACTTTACTCGCCGAGCACGTACGAACTGCGCATGCGTGAGTGGCAATAACTTTCCTTACCAGCAGGCGGCGGTAGTGTGTATTTGTCATTCAAAACTGGCAACAACCGGAAGACAGAGAAGAAGAACAGACTACGTGATATAAACAAACAACAAATAGCGTGTGCGTTAGCTTCACCTTAGCATGTGTTCTTTGCAGGTGCTTGTTGAGGTTTGACGTGGTGTTTCTAGCAGTGGATAACAGCTTCTGGCCTGGACACAGTTTGCACCTCACCGTCACATTCCTGTCTATTCTTCGGACGAACTCAAAATAATGGGCATACCTCCACCCTTCGAAAGTTATCGCTGACTCAGCCATGTTTATGCAGCACTGCACGTGGAGATGTGGACGCACAAGTCGCGCAGATTACGTACATATAAACCTACAAAGTACTGATATAGTAAATAAAAAATAATTATTTGTGTGTAGTTGTATATTGCAATAATAACGTATGGTTGTCACAAAATCCCACGGCACACCCGGACTTGCCTCACGGCACACCAGTGCTATAGGCCCTGGCGGCACACCGTTTGGGAACCACTGCTCTAGAGTATCTGTATTTCAGCTAGACTTCACAAAGGATGCTAGAGTTTCTGTTTTGACACTGCTTTACCAGTGGGGAAACTGAGGGGAATACAAGATACAAGTTTCTTTTTGGATTAGGATATTGAGTCACAACTTTGGAAATGCAATACAAAATAAATTATTTATTTATTTCAATTGTGAAGTGATGTCTCAAATGTATTTTACAAACAAATGCTCTAGTCATAATAAGCGTTGATTTTCCGTAGCCCTTTTCGGACAACTACAGTAAAAGTGATAATTAGACAGCGGTGTCCAGAACACAGATATTAAGCAACTGCTAGTAATTTAACTAATTGATTACTGGAGACGGGGAGCAGAGCCTGCCAAAGAGATCTTAGAGACTTACAATAGGCGGGATTTCAGAAGTGTTTTACAGCAAAAAAGAGAATCAATGTTTTGTAAAAAAATTGTTTTGGTATATAACATTTTGATCCAATCAAAACAATGAGGGATAAATTGATCCCATCTACTTTCCACTGTGGTTATTTTTAGGCACAACAGTAGCAAGAATTGGATGTGAAGGAAGATACTGCTGGTCGTAGAGACCCTAGCGAGGGTTATTGAAAACAAAACTGCTGAGTATACACTCTAAAAAGTCATTCAGGGGACCTTTTACCACCACTTAATTAGATGCATGGTTGCAAGATACACATTTGAATTAATTGATTTAGATAAACATTTTAAGTTGCAAACATTAATTTATAAGTTGTGTTGACGTAATAATGTTGGTAATTACATCGACTTAATATTGTGTGTAATTTAAACTCTGATTTCTGCGTTAATTGACTTCAAACTAAATTCAAGTTGTAGTAAGTAATGCAATTGGCTTGATAACTTAATTGTTCTACACCTTGAGTTAAGGATTTCAAGTCCACTCCCACTTAACATGCCTGGACAAGTTCCGACAGTTAAGACAAATAGAAATATACAAAGGACATTTTAAGGTGAGTGTCATCTTTTGTCATTAAAATACAGTAGATAGCCTTGTAGTTGCACTGTATAGGCAAATTGCTGTTTGAGCAAAATTAGCAGCCTTTGAACTGTGAATAGTTCTGTGAGAGGATACAACACTCTAAAAACAAATGCCTTGGCTCAACAAAGAAAATCAACGCAACCGTTTGCATCAATGTTTATTGAGTTAAGACAACTTCTAATGAAATTGTCTTAAAGCAACAAAGTTATTTGAGTTAGGAGAGAAGGCTTTTCCTCTACAATCAGAGGTGTTTTTAATTACCACTTACTTAATAATTGGTAGCATAAACACAAGTTTTGAAGTTGATTACTCAAAAATTAAGTTGTTCCAACTTGTTTTACCGTATGATTTAAAAGGAATTTTAAGTTGTATGTACTTAATTACCATCATTGTGAACACAAGTTTTGAAGTTGACAACCATTTATAAATTAAGTTACTCCAAATATATTGTATTCAATAGTTTTTCTTCTTAGCTTTTTCATGTTTTTGCCTTTTAAAGAAAGAAATCAATTGATTCCACAACAAAAATGTTAGGCAATTCACTTTTTATTTTGAACTGCAGTTGTTTATTTCAACACATGATGTTTCAATCAGGAGAGAATTCATTTTGTTTGAACATTTATTGACACATGCCATATGATAAGGTGCATGGACACCTGAAATCACAGCTGACTGCAGGAGAGAGGAGAACCATTTTATAGTTTGGCTGCAGCATGTTGATTGGCTGCTGGAGAATGAGGTGAAATGTAATAGGTTAAAGAGAACGCCTGTGATGAGCTGATTATATGCAGCTGCGGAGTGAATGTATATACACCCAGTCTTCCTGAAATAACTTGCGCTGAGCTTCATTTAAATCTTGAAAAAAAAGATAAATAACACATTTAAATTGCCACACAAATAATAAATAAACACATTAGCCATATTACCATGGGACATGGGGACACAGCAAATAAATGCTGCCATCACAACGAAGTTAGAGGCCTTTGCATATTTAAAACCAGTGCCAAATATGTACAATCTGTAAAGTTTTTGTAAAACTACAGAAACAAACTCTCAATGGCCACCAATCTGCAGATCACACACATCAATTTGACAAAAGATGTAACAAAGATGGTTACACTGCCGACAGTCATTATCTCAAACAGTATGAACACATTTAACGCAGAATGCTTGCTCATTCATTTGTTTC